CTTAGAAAACTTTGTCTGCGCATTCAATAAAATTTACGGAGGAAGCACAATTCAATATATTACCTGAAAACTGTATAACTATGAAGAAACTCTCAGGATTTATTTGCACGGCCACCAATATACTGGACCGCCTCAAGCAATGTCGTCTTCATCTGCGCTAGTCGTGGCGGTCTCTCGATGAATCACCCAAATTTTCAGAGCCAAAAATAATACCAGCTCTCTAATAATATTTTATCAACAATGTTGCCACTTTACTCATTAATGCGCATTCAGTCTCGAATATCCTCGTCCGAAGAAAGTTATAATCCAGGAGCGTACGCACGCTGGCAGCCGCAGAAAGGAATATTGAGCTATCGGAGCGAACTTGAAACCGAGAGTAATCTCGTTAAGATTCTCCCCGACCTGTCATGCCAAAACAAACCCAATCTCGCCACAGTTTTCAGTGGAGCTCGTTTTTTGATACCTCTGTTTTTGTATCGACCAGGCAGTCTCAAGCTTCTTTGAGTGAGTGTGGTGGAGCTCACAGTTAACGCTTCGACGGCTTAATCAAAGTGGGAATCTCAGAATTTGATTTTGAAGATTTCTTTTCTTTTTTTTACGTTCGAATACAATTCAATTTGTATGGAAGAAAACAATTTCTTCCTTGTTTGTTAAAAAAACGGGAAATCGATGTTAGAATCGACATGAGAAGTTTAGGCCGAGTCATTGTACCAGGATTATTTGGACTTATATCATTAGTCTGCTTATATCGCAAGTTCACAAGGAATTTAAAAGCAAAGAAAACGCCAAGAAAATTCTTATTTTCTTGGCGTTATTATAGGATTATTTGGATTAACTAAATCCTGAGATGGGCGTGAAATGTATGCAACCTCTCTCATTGAAAAGTTGAATAGCGTTCTGCTTCTGCAGTGGACACTTTCTATCCATTCAACTCCTGAAATAAAACAAAAATGCAGGCCGTGAACAATTGGAAAAATTCTGCATAAAAGCAACGGTTGCGTGACTCTGCTGCAAATCAAGCAGGCTTGATTTGGTAACCGTCACTGTACTTTACATCACAGTTTGAATTTCAATCTATTTTCTATTTAAAAAAATTGCGGGAACAAAAACCCTCAAAGTTTTTTCGAAGCGAATTATTGCAATTCCTAAAGTGATAATAATATACTTCATTAAATAGCTCTGAGCTGCCTGACTGGATAGGGCGAAATAATCAAGCGATCTTGCTGCCAGGGAGAGGTCTTAACTTGGATTAAAGGTGAACGGAGCTGTGCGCGTTAGTCACGTTAGGCTAAAATTGACACGCCTGACACTTCTTGTCATGGCATAAGACTGTTTTATATCTGTTAACGATATTTTATTTAATATTAGATTTTAAAGTATTTAATATTTAGGAGATTTTATTGATGGCCATTGGGAGAAGCAAACATTGGTGACTAAAAGAATGTGCTGCGCAGTTCAATTAAGATCAATTCTGTTTTGATGTGCTGAAAGTTCTCGGGCTTAAACGATGGGATAGACTTTTTTAGTTACTCGGTGAAGCAAGTACAATGTAGCATCACTTAGACTAGCTTTAGTAAATTTATCAAGGCAAATTAATCTTTTCATTGCAATTCAGGATAATTTATTCACTCACTATGTTATATTATGACATGTTACGTTATTAATGCTGACGAGCAACATTCTGGCGGGCACGTCTCGTTTGAGAATAAAATTAATCAGTGCTGGGAGTGACACAGAAATTCTGCAGCCAATGTACTGTAAAAACGAATTCATCAGTTGACACTCAGAATTCGCGACTAACTATAGCACCTTACATTCAAGGTGCCCGGTCACCGAGACCGGGCAGATGCAAGGCTCCGGTCGAGATTTGAGACGCGTTGTGTTTTAGGCTCGGGGTTGGAGACGCGGGCAGAGCTTGCATGCATCACTCACATACCTCGCGTAGAGTTCACTTGCAGAAATGTTGGTGGCCATCATTAGTCTTCATTAAAGACTCATTATGTAGGCTGTGCGCGTGAGAGATGGGTTTAGGTCTATCGATTCCGAGCAGGCCAGATAGCAACATCAAAGCCCCCAATAAAAACCCTCAAGACGACTCCGTTCCCATGCTCACGATGGACTCAGGAATGCTATCGACCGCAATATTTATACAGCATTCAATACCAGGCTATGTTGCTCAGGATACTCAGCTTTTACCACTCGTCTTAACACAAAAGTGGTTGCAGGAAAGTAAACTGATATTGTGTTTTGGGTTGTACTAAAGTAATTGCAGGAAACTAAACTAATATTGTACATTGGGTTTAAAAGTAAGCAATCGCAGGATGAGCATGCAGAGCATGAATATTATTCACTGCTCATACAGAACTTTCATTATACAAACCATGCTCATATTCGCACCATTATTCTTCGTAAATACCCACAGCAAGCTGGAAAGGAAATAGGCAACTGGTAATCCATTTAAATATAAACGGCAAAACGCACCAAAAAAAACAAACAATTATTAGCAAACCTCGAAAATATAGGACTTAATTCAAGTATAAACAATACGAGGAACTAACTCATTGCAAGCGTTACTTTGATTACATCGACTGAATGCTTCCCAAACTAAATAAAAAATTAAAACTAAATAAGAAATTAGAGTTTTCCTAATGATTGTCATTTAATTCCGAGATATCTAAGAAAAGAAAGACACCATTTAATAATTTAATTATCTACTGAATCGAGCCCAGCGACCATCTACATTACTACTGTCGTCCCGTCTGAAATAGTCGGCTAAGTTAGGTGGATATTAGGGACTCAAAATGAATCCATTCATCTCTACTGTAACAAATATTATTTAAGCCCCATTTGATCAACGGTGTTATTTATATATTGTGAATTTGCAATATTAATGTTCTAGCATCGAGGCAGAAGCACGACACAGAACATATGGTAATTATGCATGGTTGCATGAAGAACGGCTAACATTCCCTCTACTTTCTAGGCGAATAACTCTGCCTGTGATGACGCCATTAAATGTTTGCGGGTGCCGCTGGCTCTCGCCAGGCTAGCCGGGCGTTGTCAGGAGCACTCAAGTTTACCTCGACGTCTCACATCAGCAGCAGGTGATAGGAATGCCACCTGATGACATCCACTGTGGGGATGACACGTCAGCCGTCGTATTGCGGTAATACGTCACAAGCCTTGTAACTGTGACACGTCTAGAAGCGCGATAAGAATGTCTCTGATTGATTTGCGCCCATATATCACGCCAATTAAAGTCCATAACACGTCCCCTGTGTCATTCCAAAGTCCATTACGCATCCCCTGTGTCAAACCAAAGTCCACTACTCATTCCCTGTGTCACGCCAAAGTCCATAACACAACCCCTGTGTCATTCCAAAGTCCATTACACGTCACGTGTCAAACCAAAGTCCACTACACATTCCCTGTGTCACGCCAAAGTCCATAACACAACCCCTGTGTCATTCCAAAGTCCATTACACATCCAGTGTGTCAAACCAAAGTCCATTGCACATCACCTGTGTCAAACCAAAGTCCATTACACATCCCCTGTGTCAAACCAAAGTCCACTACACATTCCCTGTGTCACGCCAAAGTCCATAACACAACCCCTGTGTCATTCCAAAGTCCATTACACATCCAGTGTGTCAAACCAAAGTCCATTACACGTCCCCTGTGTCACACCAAAGTCCATTACACGTCCCTTGTGTCACACCAAAGTCTATTACACGTCCCCTGTGTCACGCCAAAGTCTAATACACGTCCCCTGTGTCACGCTAAAGTCTATTACACGTCCCCTGTGTCACGCCAAAGTCTAATACACGTCCCCTGTGTCACGCCAAACTCCAGGTACACCCGTAAGGCTCATTGACCTGCCGAGACTTCAATTATCGCAGTTAATAAGCTGGGAAAAAGAAGTGCTTATCTTGCCGCTACGCTATCGCCCTGTAGCAAGAAAACTTGGCCAATCGTCGCATGCTGGCGCTGGAAACTTTGCTCGGTCCCTACGTTAGCATCGTTATCGCTCGGCCATCACAGAACAACGAAGACTTTGGTCCACTTCCATGAGTTCTGCGATTCTAAGCCAGAAGCCGCCGGAGGCTCTGGCAAGATTTTAACTGTCTGGCTATATTAATAAATTGGTATTTCATTTAAACTGCATTTATATATCAGTATTTGAATTTTTGAGGCACTGCATGCCAGATGAGTAGGCATTAGACCTGCATTCCTTATTAATTCTCACATACAAGGAATGCAGTATTCCGTCTTGAACTGCTTCTTTATTTGCCGTTATTTTTAATCGAGATAAGAAAGTTTGCATTCAATATTGAACTTATATGCAGTGCTATTCCTGAAAACCTATAATTTACTGGCTAAACACACACAAAAACCAATAAATATTCATCGTTTAGCTTGAAGTGTTAGAAAATTAAAAATACTAATGTTACTTGTGTGGGGGCACGAGATCCAACGATTATTTTCATCTTATGTTCCACTGAATAGAAAATATGTTATAATATGAGTAATCCTTATTGAAATTGAACTCTATAATATTTTTCAAACTAGCAAGTCGATCTTTTAGTTTAATTTATTTCTTCTTAGGTTAGCTTCCCTCAATCCCTCAATCCCTCAGTAAATCTTCTCAGTAACTCGTCTAATTTCGCTTAAATTGCGCGTAAGCCGCTCATCTTGCCAATATTGAGCCTGTTGGTGTCAGGGCAGCACTAACACAAGCAACTCATACACTTACTTCTCTCCAGTACTTGAGAGAGTCTCGGTGTAAGTGCTCGAGGAAAATGATGTATATGTGCTCTGAGGCGTGGTGATTTTCATAGTTTCATCGAATCAGCCCGCAGAACAGTGTAGCATATTTCTTAATGTTACTGATTAATCTCATAAAGCATTCAATGGTATCGCTGTTCTTGTATAAACAAACGAATGATGAAATGAACTATTAAGGTGCACTAAATTTATGGGGAAGGTGAAACTAAGAGTCGAAGCAGTGCACCAGTTTATTGAAAAAATTGAGTTCTTTAGCAAGTTCCAAGGTCCCTGACTCAGACTCCGCTCCAGGCACCCTCCACCTTTAGCGCCACTTCACGTCTGTAGAAATAAAACATAAAGAGTTCTAATCAATTGAGAATCTTACAGTATAATTTTAGATTAGAATTCCAAATTGTAAAGTGAATTGACCAGACAATGAAGCATTTAATTTAATGGAACGTGCTCAGAAGATCGGAAAGTATTCCATACTGAACGAGAAACAATAGCACTCCCGGAGCCGTGCTGTGTTCTCACCTTAAACTAAAGGCCATCAGTGCGCAGATCGTCCCTCACCACTTCTCGGCTCCCCCATAGCCAACCGCCTAGTCAAGTGACAAGCCAGGCCAAGCGCTGCGTTGTAGACGGCTGCGCTGCTTTGCGTGTGTGCTATGCGCTCAGGGCACGGAGAGATATTCCATGAGAAAAGCAAGCCTAACGTGCAAGCTAGCCCCCCAGTCAGAACTGCTCCGCTGCCATAGGCCGTGCTGCGCAGACCGATAGGTCTGGTCTGAGATGAGTGGCGCCTATGAATCATCTGGCCAGTATTCAGTTACTAACCTACTATGGGCGTGATTACAACATTCAAGCGTATGCTGTATTCACGGCGTGGGTGTGCTTTTGGAATTTTAATCTCTACAAGATCATTGGTATTAATATACAAGTTTTTAAATTCCACAGCAATTTTGTACATAAGGACTCTGACAAACAAATAAACAATTTGGAACATCAACGCTGATCAGTCTGAGCCTTGAGACTTAAAATCACGTCCTCGAGCTTTCTTAAAAGAACATATGCAAAGTAATTAACGTCTAAGTCACAGCAAATAAAATAAACGTATCATCAGCAATTAATAAACAAAAATGTATGTTTTAAGAAATCTTCATTTTACTAATCCATATAACAATTTATCCTAGTACTCTGCCTGAGCTTTTCACCGCACATCAAATCTTCTGACATCGGCTTTTCGCATTTTCCCTTCCGTATAAACGTAACCAAAATATACAAATTCGAATAATTTGCAGAGTGGAGAAAACTGATATCGTGGCATCATTTACTCTATCAATAATGGTTATACGTTTACAGTCACTCACAATACATTGGAGGATTCAGGTCACCTCTAAAAGCATCCCAAGACAAGGTCAATAATTTATAGCCTCTTTTTGCAATATTTGACATTTTTAATCACCCATAGTTTGTAAAATTGTGGCCAGCTATTTTTTGGTTAAAAACATTTCATTTCAGTAAGCCTGCGGCTACATTTCCGCAGCAAGGCTTAAGAACCCGCACCCAAAGTCGCTTGCAAAGTTCAGCTAAAAGCTCAGGCAGGAGTCAGACTTGTCCTGTTACCGCTTCTAATCCTGCTGAGTGATGCTGGTTCAAAAAACCTACCACTGCTTCATTATGCGAAACGTCCTCGGCTTGTTGACAGCGACAGTTTTTTACCAGTTTATGTTGAATGCCTAAGCGTTGCTCGGACGTCTTGGAAGCTGAGCCCGATTTTAAAGTCGGTTTTAAAGGCGATTCTGGTAAATTGAACGCTTCAGAATGAAATTCTCGTTCAATGCGCTGAACCGCCACTCTGTGACAATCACATAGAAGAATAATTAGCATCTTATATTAAACAGTTCTTCAGCGTGATCAATTATGTTGTTTCAAGCGAAATCTACTATAATTGTGTTTCGAATGCAGCTGCGTCACATGTCTAAACAACAACTTTACATCAGCAATTGATTGATCTGAAGTTTTATCATTGAACCTCATTGTGATGTTACCGGTCACCTCCCCTTGCCTCTTTACGCTTTAACGCGACGCATCAAACGAATCCTCGACCGCTGATGCATTCAATTGAAGAGCTCGAAATTAAACGTCGTCCTATACGAAGGCTGCACTCAAACCTATGCTACAAGTGATAGGAATTAATTTGACATGGCCGCACTAACAAATAAGTCTTATCAACGAGTCAAACTTAGCGAAATTAATTCCCTAAATAAATCATTGTAAGAACTAATCTCATGTTGTTAGTATACGTAGCATTTGACATCAGTTGCATGTTGCCGTCTTGAAATGATTTGAAGAAAGTATTTTTTGGTTTATTTAATTCTTTCTGTATTATTTTTCATGCAAAGCAAACTGCCTGAGCTGACATACTGTGAGAATTCTGCCTAACTCGTAGGAGATTGAAAACAACCAAAAATTTAATTGAATGTTAGTTATTTGATCGTATACAGGATGGGGCAAAAAGCCAAAAAAAACATTGGGGTTGTGGAGGCTCGTTGCAGTAGTGAAGGTTATGGAGTCGAAAGGCGTAATGGTCATTGAATTTTCCGGTAGGAGGCCATCAATTGTTGACACAGCTTGGTCGAATGGGTGACTCCGTTTTGCAGTCGAGACTTATTTTTGTCAGGATAAGTTGATTATTGCAGCACTGCATGCGTTGCCAAATCGTTGACGCATTCACCCTCGCAATGCTGCTCCTGGCCGTAAATTCGTTTTCTCGATGTCGGCGAACTTCCTGGAAAGCGGAAGCTTCATGGGAAATAGTGAAGCTCGGAGGACCGTCCGAGCATCAGAAAACATTTAGTGTGTCAGAAGATCGATCTTGCAGTCTCCTGAGCATCCTGGTCGCTGGCATGCATTGCCCAGGCGTTGTCTGATCGTTTGCTAGCCGTATTTCACGCTAGGAACTTCACTGTTTTTCATACAAACGCACATGGGTCAAGTCCTCACACGCATGCGTGCATGCGTTTTGTTATGGGACAAGGCGCACTTCAGATTAGCTGTGAATAAGCGGACCATGCGCAATAAAAATTATTCAAACCTTGGGCATGAGCGTAGTACGCCTTTGATACGCCTCCACGCAGTGAAAAAGTAACTGTTTGCTGAGCATTCAGTACTGTTTACTAGGCATATACTTGTGCCTTATTTCTCCGATTATAAAAAAATTGATTATACAATTGTTCAGAGGAGTATCCAAGCTTCCTTGGACTATATTTCTCAAAACCGAACTTTGGGTTGACCGTAGGAATAATATGCGACTATGTATTACGTTTCAAGCTGGATGTTACTACAGCCCATTCTGCTAGAAATTCTGGGGCTGTATTTAGGTATGTTTGTTTAGGTATGTTGCCCCTGGGTGACTGATCACCAATAATGACGATGTTATTTGAACAGCATGATCACCGGATTTAACTCTGTGAGGTTATTTCTCATTGAGCAAATGAGCGAAAGGACTAATAGAGCGAGGTTCAGGCAGTAGCCTTGCTGCCTGGGTTCTGCCCTGATCAAGGATGGTTGCATCCCGCAACTAATGCTTCGTTGAGCCGTGCTAGACATCAGATATACAACAGTGCATTGGAGTGACATCAATTGAGTCGAAAGTATTGAGTAATTGCAATTGAGTTAAATACTTATCGAAAAATATTCACCTACACCTATTTAATAAAATTACAAAGCAAGGTTCATACATATTATTAATTTTGCTTTATAATAAAATACACATATCTGACCAACCCAACATTATCCGAATTCGTAGAAAATTTTTCTTCATGTTTCGTCTTAGTTCATTTAATTCACTTCTACGTGATCATTAATTATGATGCTGAAACATGAAAAAAAACATACTGAATATTCAAGTATGAAAAATTCAAAAAATGTGCATCTTGATGGAGGAAGATATGGTGACTTAACGTTGTCGATAGTGTCATTTTGACACTATCGTCTATCGACACTTTTTTCAATTTTTGTTTATGCTTCATCTTCGAAGTATATTGTCCGGCAGAGGAGCTATATTCTTATGCATAAAACCGAAGCAAAAGACGGGAGCGAAAGCTAACGATGCAGAAAATCGATGAAAGCGTTTCAGGATTGGTGGCAAGAACTTTAAAGTGACGTTGTCGGACCACTTCCGGACACTCGTAAATGGATGGTCCTGACGGCCCACAACAAAATTCTAAGCTCTCTGCCTCCTTACGACGATCTCAATAAAAAAATCTAAGCCCCAGGAATTTGGCAATCGAGATTCATGTTAGAAGCCTTCTGGCACAAGAAAAAAATGTGATACCAGACTGGCGGGAATAATATTATTGTGGAGTCAAAAGTCCAGTAGTAAACGACTACCAATTTCTCCAGGGAATCCGGTCCATAGAAGACGAAGAATGTAAATGTCTGATCAGAACTGAACTTGCTTCTTGTTGACCTTCAGATGGTTTGGGACTTCATGTTTTTGCATCACCGCGCGTAATGAAAAATCTGCATCGTTTGAATACATGTCTATTGTGTACGGCAACCACGAGAAGTACATAACTATCGTGTGCATATATATCATATCTGTCATATTGTCATCATATTGTCATCATATGGCCATCAGATGGTCATCAAATGGCCATCATATGGTCATCATATGGTCATCATATGGTCATCATATGGTCATCATATGGTCATCATATGGTCATCATATGGCCATTAGATGGTCATCATATACTTAACTTGCGATCACCTCGACGAAAAAATTGGAAACTTCGCTCTAATCTTGTCGGACTCGTGTAGCTCTGCAGATATAGAGCTCCGTAGCCAAACATTTGAATAACTTCACCTCGACGAAAAAATTGGAAACTTCGCTCTAATCTTGTCGGACTCGTGTAGCTCTGCAAATATAAAGCTCCGTTGCCAAACATTTGAATATAAATGAGTTGTAATAACTTAATTTGTCAATTTTCGATCTACTTTAGTGGCCTAATATTTTTTAGATACGTTTATTTATATCCCTGTTTGTGGTGCACTCAATGATTTTTTATTGTCCCACTGCATGTAACATATTAAGTAGCGTTGAGTTGTAACGAATAGAGAAGCCTCAGTCTCTCCATTGGACCGGCCTGCAGCGACTACCAATCAAACTTCGCTGTAGGCAAAAGTGACCGGGTTTTTAGGATGATGTTCTCGCTTGTGAACTCCATAATGAAGCTCTAATTAGAGCATAGAAAGATTTGGCGCAATCATCACTCGTATTCACGCTGTTCTCTTACCATTGGGTTTCAATTACGAAATTTGAGGCCTTTCATCCACCATCGATTTAAATCGTTTGATTGAAGTCTAAAAACTTATTTTGTTCCGTTTTCAGGCCTTTTTTCAAATGAGGCATGGACTAACGATTACCTTTGAACACTAAAATTTTATAACATTTTGTATAATATTTATAGTTTTATACATTGTGATTTAGATTTATTCGCCCCGAAGCTATTTTCAGGTTAAAGGGAAACTTAACAGTAATTTTCGCATAATTGGATGGGATGCAAACGCGGCAATCTTTCTCCGAGACTAACTTCCAGCTTTTCATTTACATTCGAGTCCATTCTGAATATAGCAACGGACTGATCGTCCGTTGCTACAGAATATAGCAACGGACTGAATATAGCAACGGTTTGATCCGCACTGCAGGTGTAAGATTATA